ATCGAATTTCCCGAACTCCCTGAACCGCAGCTTAAAAACCCAAGGTTCATAGTTGTATCATCCAAGAACTCAGAAAAAACATATCAGATTTTCCTGCTTTGCAGTCCACAGAGCTCTTAAAAACATCAGCAAAGACATCCTATCGATCTCAACTCCCGTGATGGAAATCTTCTAATGCTGGTCAATTCCAAAGAAGTTGGTAATAAATTCACCAAAACTACTTCCTTACCCGGGCTATGCGACATCGAGTGCAAACTCCACAACTCCCTTAACTTTGTTAAAGGCACCATTTACGCACCCTGCTTAATTAACATCCCAGAAGACGAAATTGTTGAAGAGCTAAAGTCTCAGAATGTGCACAGCGTTTATAAATTCACAAAAATGATCGACGGCACTCCCAAACCATTTGGCAAAATTCTTGTGACTTTTGACCTCTACACCCTTCCAAGAAAATTAGACATCTCGGCATACTGTTAGAGTTACAGAATATATTCCAAACCCTATGAGGTGTAAGTCATGTCAGCTATTAGGACACACATTAAAGAAATGCGGTAACCCAGCCGCCTGTGTATCATGCAATCTCGCTCCCCACCTTCCCGTCCCATGCACTCGCATTTTCTGCGCAAACTGCAGCGGCGATCACCCCGCTTCCTCACCCTCCTGCCCGCAATACCAAGCACAAAAAAATCTTCTACAGATCAAAACGACAAAAAATGCAGCTTCCGAGAAGCTCGCATTATCTTTAAACAACAACAAAGCACGACAACCAACTCCACGCTGACCTACTCGGTCGTCGCAAACCCGAACACAACAGCCGCTTGCGACAAAATTCCCGAATCCCACCAGACCACCAATACCGACTTACCAAGCTGTTCAAAAGCTCAAACATCTCTCTTATCATCTACGCATGCAAACTCTTTGTTTCCCAAAGAGAAATTACAAACCACACTCAACAACTCTTCCAAAACTGAATTCTCTAACTCAAACAACGAAAGTACACTACAAAAACACTTAGCAAAATCTCGCGCTCTCAGATCACAAGTACAAAAATTCATACAACAAACCGAACAAGACGACAATAATTTCTCACTGGCCTCAAGATCAAAATCAAACGAAAATATCTCTTCACACACCCCAAACAGCCATACACACTCTGATGTAACAATGGACGATTCCGACTGTTAGTCCCGATCCCCTCCTTTTTTTACATCCCTACACTTAAATACATAATACATAATCTAGCAAGAATAAAATCCTTAAAACCTTATCATGTCAATTGCTATAATACAATGGAATATCCATGGTATTTTTAACAACTACAACGAACTTACACTCCTCATAAAAGACCATTCACCCGATATATTATTTTTGCAAGAAACCCATCTGCCATACAATTTCAATAATTTCATTTCTCCTAAAGGATATACTAGTTATTTCCACAACTTCCCGCAAAACACCGTAGCCAAGCAAGGGATTGGCGTCCTTATTAAAAGAAACATTCCTCACACGTACCATAGTATAAACTCCAACATTCTATGCTCAGTACTGCAGCTTAGTATTGACCAAACCATAAACTTTATTAATGCCTATATCCCCCCAACCAAAGCTTTACATCCTCTGACGTATCAAATACCCTTGATAACCTTAATGGGTCATCTATACTTCTCGGTGACCTTAACTCGTGGAGTTCTTTATGGGGCTCCCCGCACACAAACACAAGAGGTAAAAAAATCGAACGAGCTATTCAAGAAAACAATCTAATAGTCCTTAACGACGGCTCTCCCACACACCTTTCAACCCACAACACCTTCACTCACATAGATGTCTCCTTGATATCTCCTGAGATAGCTCATAGATGTAGCTGGTCTATATCAGATAACCTCCATGGCAGTGATCACTTTCCGATAACCATCCACATTTCTGCACCAACCCACACCGATAATACTCTCCCGCTACCCAAATTCAAGACTGACCTAGCTAACTGGAAACGCTTCAATGAAAACTGCGAAAAATCAGCTCTTAACTGGACAGCCGGTTGCCTAAATCAGCAAGTCGCTCAAATGACCAAAGCCATTCGAGCAGCTGCAAATGCAGCATTCCCCAAACAAAACGAGTGATCCATAAAGCTAAAGTGCCATGGTGGAACTCTGAGCTCCAACAGCTCAGGGACCGGAAGCAACTTTATTCTCCTATTATAAAGCAAATATGTCTGACACAAACCTTTTCAGTTACAAAAAAGCAAACGCTCTCTTTAAAAAAACAGTTCTCTCAGCCAAGCGCAACTGCCTTGAAAAATTCACTTCCCAGATTTCCCCGTTATCCACCCCAAAAAAGTCTGGTCAGATGTAAAACGCTTAGCTGGCATTCCACCCACACCTTTCAAATACATAAAATCGGACTCAGGTACTCTATCTGGATCCTTTAACATCGCCGAAGAGTTTGGCCACGCCTGGTCTAAATACTCTTCTGACAAAAACTTTTCAGCAGAATACATACTTGAAAAAATCAGTATCTATCAGAACCTTATCTCCCAGATGCACTATCAACATCCGCAACATGCTTAGATTCCAATTTCACCCTTCTGGAAATAGAGACCTCAATAGCAAGCGCAAAAGGAAAAGTCCTGGGTCCGATAGGGTGTCATACCCTATGCTCAAAAACTTACCATATCTTCTGAAAGCCAAACTCTTGGATATCTTTAATGTAACGCTACAATCCGGAACATACCCACATACATGGAGCTCAGCCACCATTATCCCCATTCCTAAACCTAACAAACCCCCTTCTGATATTAACAGCTACCGTCCTATTTCCCTTTTGTCCTGTCTAAGTAAAACTCTTGAAAAATAATTGCCCAGAGACTTCTCTGGTTTATTAACCACCATAATCTCATCTCACATAGCCAAGTTGCATTTAAAAGAAAACATAGCACTATGGACGCTTTGCTGCGTCTTCAACACTTCGCGTCGAACGCTCTTTCGACCAAAAATCACGTCTCTATCCTGGCGACTGATTTTGAAAGAGCCTTCGATCGCGTGGGGATTCATGCCGTACTTTGTAGATTCGGGCGCTGGGGCATTGGTCCAAGGCTTTACAACCTTGTCAAGGCCTTCATGACCAATCGCTCTTTCAGGGTTCGAATAAACAACGTCACCTCGAACTCCCACATTTTGCACAACGGAATTCCTCAGGGCTCTCCGCTTTCTGTAGTTTTATTTATGATAGCATTTGAAGAAATCAACAGCATTTTATCTCGACATAAAGAGATCCATATATCAGTATATGCAGACGACGCTATCATTTTCACAAATATAAAAAATATCAATACTGTTAAAACAAAATTTTTGGAAATACTGTACGAAATTAACTTATGGGGAGCTACCTCTGGTGCCTCTCTTGCTATTGATAAATGCCAGCTACTACATATTTGCCGTAAACACCGATGTAACCCTCCCGACTTAGACTTTAACAACCACAAAATAAAATATGTCAACTTCTTAAAAATTTTGGGTATAACCTTCGACTCGAAACTTCTTTTCCATCAACACTGTAAAATTCTCAGACAACAGCTTGAAACTAGATTCAATATTATTAAATTCCTATCATCTAAATACACCTGCATACACACTAAGACTCTTTTAGACATTACGCGCGCTCTAATGCTCTCAAAAATAGACTATGGCCTGCCTATCTTCGGTTGGTGTGCCAAATCGCACCTACAAAAAATTCAAGCGCCCTACCACTGGGCAGTGCGCCGCGCCATTCATGCATTCCCCACATCTCCAATACTATGCACATTGGCAGAGTCCGGTCTACCGGGTATTCAATCCCGCATAGAAGAAACTACGATGATGCTCATCCCAAAGCTATACACCTCATCAAACCGCCTACTCACCAAGGACTTCGCAACCATTTTCAAGCAAAAACGGAATTACAAATGTATATCCACACTTAGACGTTGCGCCAGCTACATCAAACAGCTGGACCTACCCATACCTAAACCCAGGAAGTCTTTTAAATCGCCAGCATTTTGGAGCTCCAAAAGCCTAACATAAACACTCAAATCTACAACGGTGCTAAACAAGATACATGTCCTCAAGAATTCCAAAAACGGTTTTTAAGTGTACAATCAGATCTGGGGAACAAAACCTGGATTTTTACCGATGGTTCTAGACTCTCCGACTCGACCACCTTTGCTGTGGTTGACTGCAACCAAAAAATTATTGCAGGAGGAATGCTTCCGTCCTACAACTCCATTTTCACCGCCGAAGCTTTTGCCGTATTAAAAGCATGCCATTTCGCCTCTAAAAACGCTGGACAATTTGTTATCTGCACAGATAGCCTCTCATCTATATCCGCCCTACGCAACGTGGAACACAACGATCCCACAATACAGGAAATAAGGCACATTCTAAGTTCACATCCAAAAAAAATCACTACACTTTGGGTTCCCAGTCACCAAGGAATCAGTGGAAACGAACTAGCCGACAAGGCCGCCCAAGAAATAAGACATGCACCCTGCTTTCTCTTTACCCCGTTTAATGCCAAGGACATACAAAACCAAATTAGGCTACACCTTGAAGAAAAGAAAATCTCCGAATGGGCACTTTTTGTGCACAGATATCAAACAATAAACCCAACTTGTAGCAAGTTCAACCCTCCGCCCAATACCGGAAGAAGGTCTTGCGGGACATTCATCCGCCTACGCATAGGACACACTCAATCCACTCACCAACACATACTGATGGGAACATCGCGGACAACATGCCAACTGTGCGGTAATGATCTTACCGTGGATCACCTCCTGGACACCTGCAGCCGATTACAGAGCATCAGATTTTCCATATTTGGCACACAACGAGTATCAGAGCTTTTAAAAACCCCCTCTCAAGAGAATATATTAAACATTAACAAATTTGTCAAACAAGCTAAATTAATTATATAAGGTAAAAATACACACGTTTCGAGTCGAAGGCCCCGTTAGCTAGTACTCATATAAATTCATTAGATTTAGTATTGTATACTTAATTTAATTTTGTTAAAATAAAATAAAAAAAAAATATCACAGAGCTCATTAATTTTGAAAAAGTAGAGATGCCTATTTCTTTTTTTTTGATTTTGCCAACTTTTGGGCCATATAACTATTTCTCAATTTTTGCAGTTTGTTTGATTTGCCGAACCATTTGTTGAACTTTACCATGAGCTGGAAAGAAAATACATTACATTTATATTATTGTTGATAAGCATGTATAAAATATTTGTATACCTTCTCCTCTGGAGGGAAAATTGGAGGCTCATTCTTGCTGAGGAAATACTCTAAGAACTCGTTGGGATCCAATGCCTCATTCTTAAGACGCATTTTTCGGTCGATATTTAAGGTCTGATTTATGTTGTCATTAATGTCGCCGGAGTTGTAAGCCTGCAAGACTCTTGCCAGCGCAGAATATGCGTACTCCGCCATATCATCTGGGGCGTTTTCGGTCATAAGCTCTAGCCAAAGTAGGAAACTAGTGCCATAATCACACTTCGGAATTAGCAGGACCTTTTGGAACGCCCTTTTGATGCCTCCTTTGGCCGCCCAGGGCATAGAACTTGTGCCGACAAGGACAACTTTATCATTTTTCTTTAAGGGCTTTAAAATTTTACTGGCTATGGAAGATCCAAGAAGTCTTGGTTTTATGTCTACGGCCTCAGGCGGTATCTTTTTCCAAAACAATCGATGTGCTTCATCGAAAAACATTATGGTAGGCTGGAACGCCTTTGCCACTTTTACAATAACATGTAAGAAATACTTTAAGTCATCAGCAAACTTGTAGGTCTTCTCGGGGCTCAGATTCATAAAAACTGCGTCTGGAAAAAAATTAAGCCATATACAGTCATAAATCAAATTTTTATATTACCTAGTTCTGAGGCAATAATTTGACACATCAATTTCTTTCCGCAATTTACAGGTCCAATGAGTAAAAGGGACTTCGGTTTTGGAATATCGAATTCGCCCATTCCTAGCATTGACTCTTGAATGACCATTTTAATATCACCTTTTGCTGGACCCAATGTTCTAAAATTAATCATAATACAAAAAATGTGTTTAAATTTAAAAATCGGATTGCTTTTAAAAAGTTTCAAGTTAATAAAAAAATATCATTAAAATGTGTTATAAATGCTCTTTCTAATAATTTGAAGGAACAATATTTTATTCAGCCAAATCAATATTTAAGAGATTTGAATTAATTTAAAGAACCAAAATGCTTAACCCTCTAAATAAAATACATACGTCAAGTCCTCCTCATCTCGAGTGTCGTCTGCCACAAAGTTAAAGTCCGCAATGAATTCATCAAAATCTTTATGAGAAACTTCCTCTATTATTCCTCCATCTTTTAGTTCGTGGTATAAGGAGTCAAGAGTTCTATCGCCTGTCATATCCTTTGGCTTTTTCTTCCTCTTGTTCTTTTTCTTTTTCGGGTACTTTACTTTCAGAGCCTTGTATTTTTCATTGTTATCCTTTGCTAAAGCCTCCCGAAGCAATTCGTACTCTACCCTAAAAAATCAAACATTTTAACTGTTTTCACATTACCAAAAAATGTTGTCTATATTTTAAAAGATTATTATTTATAGATTAATTCTACCTCATGTATTCGTCGACTAAGCCTCTTACTTCCTGATGTATCTTAGCCAGCTCTTCCTCTGTAACCCAATCTTTAATAGGATCATGATTTTTGTTAAGATATTCATCGACGTTTCTCCAGTCCTTAGCATATTTCTTCATTGTTTCCTCAATGTTTTCTAGAAAGTGATAACAAATATATTAAATCGAATTCCTCTAATAACTTACCTATAGGCTTGCTTGCAGTTAACTCATAGCCAATATCAATGATTCCAGCGTCTCTCAATTTTTTCCTTCGCTTGGCTTCTTTCATTTTGATTAATTTAAGCTTTTCCTTCTTTTTTCTTTTCTCTTTTTTCTCTTTATCTCGAAGTTTCTTTTTCTCTTCTTTTGTCATTGGCTTTTTACCCAGCGTCTGTTGAAATTCCATGGGGGTCATTGTTTCATCAATGACAACTAGTACGGTTCCCTTCTTGACAGGATCAGGATAGGGATGAAAGTTTCCGGTTTTTTCGTAACTGTAAAGTATGGGTTACTCTTATAAAGACATATAAAAATAATAATTTCACCTTACAATTCTTTGAACCATGCCCGAATATGGTCGGATATATCTTCCATCATCCATGGACTTCTGACTTGCAAAAGCCTTGTGCGTTCATCATTAATTAAGTTAATAAAATCTTCATCTAGTTTTTTTTTTAGCATCTCCTTTTTGTACATTTCCATAATTGAATTTGCATTTTGGTTCGGTCGCTTCAGTTTTCTTATTTTCTTCATACCATACAATTCTTCTTTAAATCTCTTTCTTATTTTAACTATTTTTCTTGTCCTGTAACCTCGCCACCAGCACTGGATTCGAATCGCAGCATTATTGCGTATTCTATTAATGGCTTCTACATCTAAAATGATTTCCATTAGAAGTTGGCCTTGGAAAGCTACTGTAATTTTATTTAACAAAATTTGGATTTGGTGAGAACTAAGTTTCAATAGATTTTTAATTGATCCACAAATGTACATAGACAAGAATACAGTAAAGAATTTTATTTTGGCCGAAACTCCAGGTAGTAAGGAATCGCACCTAAAATTTGCTAAATGAGACTACCCAACATTCTAGCAGAAATATTAATTATTCCGATGAAAGCAAATAATATAATGATCAAAAGTGCGGTAAAAGTAAACAAAATGTAAGGAGAATAGTGGAGTAAAAAATTATATTCTTACTCTTTTCACAAATACCGTTCTAAAACGCGTATAGTCAATTCAAAAGTTTTTTGATTTTCAAGAATATAAGTTCATTTTCAAATTTAGACTCGAATGTGTTTGTTTCTCATTTGTTTTATTAAAATCTGGCTTAACATTTTTTTCAATAAAAAACAAGAAAGGAAAGCTAACTTCGGGCGGAGCCGAAGTTGATATACCCTTGCAGAATACTCTGTATATTATATTCTCCAAAATTATTCATATGATGCATTCTTAATACTCATAAAAAATCCCAACTTCCTAACTTTAAAAACACCAAAGTTATGGCATTTCCAATCGTTCAGTTATATGGCAGCTATAAGATATAGTCGGCCGATCCTTATGAAATTTGGTATGTCGGATTGATTGGCCAAAAATAAAACCCATAGAAAATCCCAACTTCAACTTTACAAACACCAAAGTTATGGCACTTCCGATCAATCAGTTATATGGCAGCTATAAGATATAGTCGGCCGATCCTTATGAAATTCGGTATGTCGGATTGATTGGCCAAAAATAAAACCCATAGAAAGTCCCAACTTCTTATCTTTAAAAACACCAAAGTTATGGCTTTTCCGATCGTTCAGTTATATGGCAGCTATATGATATAGTCGCCCGATCCGGCTCGTTCCGACTTATATACTACCTGCAATAGAAAGACAACTTTGGGAAAGTTTCGAGCAAATAGCTTAAAACTGAGGGATTTAGAAACGGACGGACAGACGGACAGACTGACAGATGGACAGACGGACAGACGGACGGAAGAACGGAACGGACAGACGGACAGACGGACATGGCTAGATCGACTCTCCTGGTGATGCTGATCAAGAATATATATACTTTATAGGGTCGGAAATGTCTCCTTCACTGCGTTGCAAACTTTTGACTGAAATTATAATACCCTCTGCAAGGGTATAATAACGAACAAATAATAGTTACGACTCGTTGGAGGATTTTTTGTTCGGTTTATTTTAAAAGTATAAACTTAACAATGTCCTTGTATTTTAACAAGTAAGTTTTTAATAATTACCATCTACTGCTGCTTCCCCTACATCATCCATTCTTCGTAAGTTTTCACAAGATTCATCAGATTTCAAGAAATCAGCAGAAAATATGGTTCTCTTGACGGGAATACTCATTGCCTGATCAGGTTTAAACGTAAATTTATAATTGATTTTTTTTCTTTGGTGGACCTTGAGGAACTTTTTCTTGTCATACTTAATATTCGATTTATACACTCGAGCTCGGCGAGCCCTCTCATGAGCTTGGATGAGCTTCACGGCCTCACTGACAGGAACCCAATCCTGTGCCGCTTTCTCCTCTTTTTCCTCCTCGTTCATGTACAATCGGTTGTCGGTTATGATATTTTGAATATCCAATGGACGGCGGTACAGAAACTGTGGCGATCTCCATATGACCAAGTCCCGTGGGGTTAGCTTCCGAGCGATCAATGCCTTATCCAAATATATATATTCGCTCATTTCCAAATCCTTTAACTCTTCTTTGAGTTGCATTAGCTGCTGAGTCGCACTCTCTACCAAAACGCGAACTAATGCCCGCTTTTGCACTTGAAAAGTATTGTGGTAAATGAAACCTAACTTTTCAACCAACTCAACATATAATACGTAGAGTTCTGCGAAAATTTTAAATGATATTGCTTTTTCCTGGGGTGGGTCTATCTTCTTTAAGCGGTTCTGTTTTTTGATAAGTTGCCCAATTTCCTTTCGTGTGGACACCCAAAACTTATGATTTAAGTCGAAAGACATTTTGGATTCTCTCTTTATGTGTGGCTTGAAGAATAAAAAAATCTGGACGTGTTAAGAATATAGACTGTATTTATTCGTTTCTGTACACTAAATAAAAATAGGTCGATTACCTGATTATTCAAAGGTTACTTAGTACCAATATAGATTTTGATTTTATATAAATTTATCACTTTATTTCACTTATGGCAAGATAATCAGGGAATTCTGAAGGGTACAACCACGGCTTCTTTGTGGTCGATTTGTATGTGCGAAACACTGATGTGTGCTTTCTCAGTGAACAGTTTCATCTGAAAAATAAATAAATAATGTTTTAATCGAACAAAATAAAAAAATGTTTGTGATATGAAATACTTACTTGAGCAGTGTCTTCGAGTGAAACTGGCTTAGACAAATAGAATTGATGACTTGGAACATCTTTTAAGAGCCCTGTAGTTAAAACAAATAATAGTTATCAATCAATTCTTAAGATAGTTTCAATTCAGACCTTTTAGTGAGATACTGGGATGCTGAACGTTGTTCCACTGCTGATGCAACCTCTGCGAATACAATCTTATTCTGTCGGCGTACTCCTGGTGCTCCAAACTATGACAATCCATGGCCCCAACGTTTATCATGTTTCTGTAAAATAAATGTGTGAAAACATGGGATTAAAATACAATTGGAGTTATTTTAAAGTAACATTTCTACACAGAAATGCCCTAAATTTGACATGTGCGATAGCATTACGTTCTAAGTTTAGAAATTTAAGATTCTAAAAACTGCGGGAAATACAAGCAGACTATCGAAAATTGAAGGATCTAAATGGTCCAAGAGATTTTAAATGGAATGCCATAACTCATAGCTTGACGAACTTTGTTTACGTATAACACATTTATATATACTACGGAAACAGTTCCTATGCTATTAGTTATTAACTTTGAAGGAGTATTATTGTAATGCAAGCTACTCTAGAACAATGGCACCATAGCAAAATTAATAGCACCTGCCATCGCCTCCATATGCTATCGTTACTCTATGTGTAATCTGTTGTAAATTTGATAATAAACATATGCTATTGTTACTCTATGTGTAATCTGTTGTAGGATGATTGTAAACCCTATCAAAACACGCCCATGGAGCTAACATACATCGCAGTATTCTGCACCAATCTGGAGAGTGCATTTTGGTCGTCCTTCTTGGGCAAAGAGTGGGCGTAGTCGTTGCTAAGGCCATCGGAATTGCTCCTCCGAAGGGCAGGACTGTGGTTCACGGGGTCCACCAGAAGGTGTGTCCTCTCGTTCGGCTCGTTGGGCTGCAGATAAGACGCAATACATTAGTCACTTGTCCGGCGAAGTAAGATTTATGGGTTACCTGGGTACCCGTGTCCTCGGTGCATTGCCAGCAGTTGCATATCGAGGCAAAATAGCTCCAAACCGAGTGAACGTAATCCATCCTAAATGCAATTGTTCTTTATGCAAGTTGATGTGTTAGAGATGTGAGAAACTTCGAGGTAATGTCGATACATCGATATTTTTACTGGATGTTAAACGTTTTTATTTAATTTTTTTTATAAATATCTAAATGCAAATTTGAATTAAAAAATGTAGGCTAATTTTTAATATAGTTTCATGCTTAAATAATTTTAAAAATATATCGATATATCGAGGTGTTTTCCCGAGAAACATCGATCAGCAATTTTGTTCTTCCATCTCTAATGCAAGTTCTTGAGACCCAAAAATATGTGTGCCCGTCTCTGGGGGAGGCGAAATAACAAATAATATTAAACGCAATAATACCGAATACCGTTTTATTAAGGATATTCTCAATTTCTTTAAACTTAATATTATTCAATTACATTATTAATTAATATCAACATACGGAACCCTAATAAGTCGCGCTTATCTTACAATATTATTTTATTAAAAGTTTCAAAACGTAACTATTCACTATTTAAAGCGATTATGTTTCTAGAAATACCAGACACAAAATTTAATTCTATTAATGGGACATTAAAAAATCAATAAAAACACAAAATTAGTAAAACACGTAAAAAAGTCTTGCCGCAATCTTTTAAATTAGTATTACAAAGTTGGTCTATTTCATTATATTTACTATTACTTATATACTCTAAGACAATAAGAAAAAAGTGTTTTGGAGTAAAAAAAAGTCATTTTTGTTGTAGCTTAAATTGTTAGTACAGTAGAATCCGGTTATGGTTGGTTACGGTTTGTATGGTTGGTCCCCATACAAACTTATATGATACAAACTTGTATGGTTAGTGCGTCTTCCGGGTATAACGACGTAAAATCGTCGGTCCCTTGAAAGTTGCTATAACCGGATTCTACTCTACTAGATTCACTTCACCGGATTCTACTGTACTATATTAATAAATATATTCCAATAAGTTCCGATGTTATGGGCTCCAAGTGCACACATGTCTATTAAAAATTAACAATTTTTGTTCCTCAAAATATACATAAATAACAGATTTATAATATTATGGTGTTTTGATGCTAACTAACATAACTAAAAGTTTTTAATTTGGAGAGGGAATTACATAGTGTTAGATTAACAAGATTAGATTAGAATCAAGAAGATAAGTTTTTATAGGCTTAGTTTTGAAGGCCTTGTTTGTTTTAAAGCCCGTTTTGACAATTCTATAACTGAAAGAGAAAAAACATACTTTTTTATTTTTTACTTTATTTAATAATAAATCCATTCTTTTTTTTAAAGTTGAATGATGTGATTTGTTAATTCTTTTTCTTTATGATTTTTTATTTTTATTAAAATGTTGTGTAATATAATAGAAAGCATTTTTAAAATTATTTAATTGGGAAAGCTACATACTCAATTTGGAACTTGTAATATTTTGTAGTTTATTTATTGTACATATCCACAGAAAGACAGCAGATTAAATAATATACATTGTAGATTGATGAAGATGTCTCTGTTGCAGGCAAGGGATGATGCTTATCTCGATTCGTCCTTCCTCCCAATCAAATGAATTGGGCTGCACATTTTTAATTGTGTCGCTCGCGTCAAAAGGACGAAGGAGCGGAATTCAGCAGCCCACGCACAGCACGCCCTTAAATCAACGACGCGGTTAACCATGATGGCGAAAGCAGCCAGGCGGAAACGCGAATTCATTGCCGAGGTTGCAAGACGGGGGAGCATGTGTGCCAGTGCTGTCAGCTTGTCCTTTCTCAAACACAAGTTCTGGTTTCTATTAGTCATTTAGTTTATTTCAGTAACATGCTAGGAGATTTGGGTAGTGTTAAATTCATGTAAGGAAAGCATAGTTATTCTTCTATCGAACCACGTTTCGAAGTTTCGTCTTCTTGATTTGTGTACTTACCATTTACCCTTATTATTTGAACCAAAATTCGTTTAGTTCATAAAAATATTACTGTTAATGACTAGTAAGAATGTGCTTAAAAACTATGTTTTTTGTAGGAGCTTGCCTGGTTTTTTACTTTTACTTATTGTCAAAATATATTAAAAATATTAATATATCCATTTAAATCACGTTTTTATTATATCTTTTTAATGTTTTGAAAATTTAGTGAAGGGCGTTATTTTACAACTTAATATGTTAATAAAAAACATAGTTTAAATGACTTATTGTTTTGGTCTAAATTTTAGAATAGAAAAAAGTAATTTTTAGCTGGAATACAGCTCTTGGCACCTCTGAGGTGTGCCCCGGTGATTCCCCCATCGCATCCTGATTCCTTGCTCCACCTTCCGACTGACACCGCATTTCCATCCATTCGGCAGACGCACTCTCACACCCGCTTGTAACTTGTAACTTCATTTTGCCTCGCTTTTGTTTCCGTTCCTTGGCTGCGGAAGCCGGGCCAGAAAATTTCATAACTGCCACAAGGAGCAGCTTCACTTCAAATTCAATTATCCTCCGCATGCACACGGTCCCCAAAGGATATCGATCAGTACATCTAAAGACGTACACATGTCTGTGGTTTGTTATCTGTGAATCGCTGCCTTCTATTGTAAATTTCAGATACGCTTTTATTTTACAGTTGAGTATATTGGGATAAATATAGCATTCAAAACTAAGGATTATAAGTCAATGTCTCTTAGACTTGGTAAGCAATTTCGTTAAGTAAAAAAAATAAAAGGGATATAAAATAATTTAGAGGATAGAAACATTTATTTAAATTCTAAACTAATGCTATTGCTTAAGCAACATTTTTATGACCCTATATTCTATTTTTATGTGTTTTAATTTTATGGCCAGTTTTTAACTCAAATCAACTTAAAAGAGCATTTGAAAATTCACTTCTGCCTAATACTTATGTGTTTAGTTCATTTCATGGCTCGGCACAGTTCAATTTCTCCCAGCTAAACTGGTCTGGATGGGCTTCCTCTAAGGGAACTCTAGGCGAAAAACCTCAACCACATTAACGATTTAATGAACCCCCACGAAGCAGTTTGCCACTTGATTGCCTGCGGCCTGGCTCAAGTTCTGCCGATTGGATTCAGCTGGTGTTTTATCTACGTCCCAGACTTGCAGTGCTAACCCTCGCCCATCGGCCACGCCCTCGGTTCGGGTTCAGGATCCTCCGGCTCATTGTTGCATCGACAAAGAAAACCCAATTTACATAGAATAACTGGGGATTATCGGAGGACCTCCCCCGCACCCCGTACCCTGCAGTCCAGCCGCAAAAGTGCGCCAGCAGCGTTTTTAATATGCAAAGCATATCCGGATGCCACATCGTCCTCCGACCACCTTCACTTCTCCGGATAAACAGGGCGGCGCAAACTTACAGCAGGAAAACAACATTTTTATGCACAACACTTTGCCTTTTCACTTGATGGCCTGCGCCTGCATCATGCACTGCAACATATTTTATTTTGATTAAACATATTCTTCACATATTATATAAATAATATATGTGCTTATTTTCTTTTTTAACTTTTTATTTGTAATATATATATTCTCTAATCTCAATAAATTAAAGCTTTTTAAAACTTATATAAATTGTTTTTAAACAAGAAGTAAAAGTAGTTTCACAAACCCTTTAGTTTACAAAACAAAAATAATTGTTTCCAATTTTTGGCTGAACACAATAATAGGAGTACGAAGATAAATTTTTAAATTAAATCGATATTTATTTGGTTTAGTTTCATATTCAATTTCGAATAAGCATTGGTAGCCCATTAAAACTCCGAAAAATTGAAAATTATTTAGTGTCATCTTAGATCAGGTTT